ACCATAACAGGTAAATTAATAATCCGTGATTTTACGACTACTAATGTTCAACTCCGTAGCCTTGTAATTTTGAACCCAATCCAGAAGGCAAGGGAACTCCTGGATCAAGTATTGGGCGAAATTTGCCTTCGTGGAGGACTTTTTGATGAAGCTAACCCGCATTTGCGTTACATGGAGAGGAAAACCACGAGAACCTGCCATGGTTAGTCTGACGGCAAGGGGACTTTAACCCATGAACCACTGAAGATTTGTCGATGATTTACGACAATCTGCAACATGTAAAAAGAGTTGTAGTTGTTGTTCATTAAGGCAAGGGGTGAGATTGTTCTAGTTTTCAGTGGCGCCATCTTATCACAAGAATTAGACTTCTTCTACACCCATGCGTCGAGGCTCGTTTATACGGCGTACCCGTTCATCCATTCATTCGTTCATCTCCAGATTGTGATTTTGACCAGAACCAGAGGACGATAAATCTCCAATTTAGTACCCCCAGAAGTATTGGTTTATTATGGGAACATGGAGGACTTTGTGACCTGACAGATTTAACGTGCACCAACTACAGTTTACAACACATAGAGTCTTCGACTGGCGGGGATCCAAGCCCCAATGGCTTCTTGGACATGAGTCCAACGCTCTAACAACCAGGCCATCCCGATCCAACAAAAAAAGAGTTAAATCTTTTGTACATTTGAACTCAACTATGCCACTCTGGCTTGATTTGGCCAAGGGCAAAAATTAAAGTTGGATACTTTTACAAATGTCTACACAACTACTACTACTACTGGATAACTCAGCTTCCAAAACATTATAGAGATCAATTTTTCCATTACAGCATTCAGAAATTAATGTTGGTAAATTGATCTTCGTATTTGCTTTTAAATGCACTTATATTTTGTAAGTGTAAAGTAAGTTTTAAACTAAAGTAGTTTTGTAACAGCCAATTGTTGTTCAAAGAGTCATGAAGGTGAAGGTTCTGGAAATTCGTGACCAACAATATGATTGTATAAACTCAGTCAGTACTACATGTCAGTCACTTTTTAAATTTTGGTCAACCATGTACCGCTTGATCTGAAGAATTCAAACCATCACCATGGATAGAACCTTGGTCCGTTAGCACGACAATTCAGAAAATCTTAGGGTTTATAAGGATCAGGTTATATTTAATAAAGTCTGAAGTAGATTTTTTAAGTAAGCAGGAAACATATAAAATGATCAGAGCTGAAGCAGAAATAGGATGTGATTAAACAAAAAGTTATATTTGGATAAAGAATATAAAATGATTAAAATGAATGGGATATTTATATACATATGCTCTTAAATTGTAAACTGCTTTAAAATGAATTTAATTATTTTTTTGTCAACATAGTGCATGCTTTTTTAGATATTTAAACAACATCTTACTATAATGCTTTATCAGGTAAGATATGCTATTTTGAAAATATTTATTCTAGTATCTGGTCTATCTTCTCTGAAGTTACGAGTACGAGTAAGCTAATTTGATAATTCATATATTGCATAGCTAATTTTTTTTTTAAATTCGCTATAATAAATGCTAGAACCCTGCTAGAATGATTACTTATTAGATGAAAAAACTAATTAAAATACATTATAAAAATGTAATTTAAGCATTTTCCTGCTTCATTATTTCAGATTACTATGAATTAAATTTATAGTATCAAACTCTATTTCCCTCTACTGCTAAACCCATTTCAGTAAAAACTTTGTAGTGTGTGACAGAAGTAAAACGTCCAATTTTGTGTGAAAATTAATTTCAAATATTGATTTGTTAGTTTACTTTATTATATTTCAATGAAATAAAACATTGATGAACTTTATAAGACACTTTCAAAATAAATAAATAAAAAAATAATTAATTTTTAGTGAGAAATTTCTCAACTTATTTATTAAGTATTTTTCCTAACTGTACATCCGGCTTTTTCATAAAGAACATAAAATTAAGAATAAAATTTATCGATAACTGTTACTATTATTGTTTACTTTTTGGGGGCAAGCAAGTAGTATATTTAAAGCAAAAATATATTAAAATTAAAAATTCATAACATCATAATCTAATATTTACACAAATATAATTATTGCACAGAAAATAAGGTGCTAGAAATTTAAAGATAAGAATTGTAATGATTCATTGCATTGCATACAAATCCTTTCTGTTACTAATAAAGTTTCTAATAGTGTTTCTATTTGGGACAAAAATTCATCAGAACTGAAATTTCAATACTTAGGGAAGCTAATAAATTTACAATATTCTCTCCATTTTAATCAAATCGGCAATAGAGGACAAAAGTCATACTTTTTTAGTTGGCGGCAAATCTATGACACTTAGTAGTATCTAACTTATAATTCAAGACTATTAAATAGTATTGTAAAACTCTTGCTATTCAATACGTATTGTATTATTGCAAATAGGCTGAATTTTCTAATCCTTGAAAATTAATTACAAATTAACAAACAATTCAGAATTTCGACTGATTAGAAGCACTCAATCTAAAAATGTTAAAAAAAAACTCAAAGCTAACTTGGAATCTTTAAACTATCTGTCTACTTGTACGATTTTATTTGAATAAGAAGTAGGAAACAAAAAAAAACTAATATAAATACGGAAGTAAAATAAAATGAAGTTTGTTAATAATACTGAATATCCTCTAGATAAACAGCTGCTTGAAACCGTAGCTAAAATTTTATTTAAAAAAAAACTTTAATGCATTGCAGTAAATCTAGTGAGTTATAAATAGAAACACATTTTGTTAAAGTTTAAGCAAAAAAAGAGAAATCATTTATAAAGATTGACACTAAATAGTTCTCTGGATTTTCTAACAAAATATATTTTTGACTTTTTATGAGAAGTATTAGAAGTGTTTATCCTGAAAATATCATATCAAACTAACAATGAAAAAAGCGAGGGGGGTGACTTTGAATATTTTTTTTAATCCAAAAGATTTCTAATACAAAGTAATGACATACAAAACTTTTTGCCCTTAGGCTTAAAAGGTTTTAATGACATAATTTATGTATTCTGTTGTTTTTATACTTTATGTTTTTATGTTTCATGTTTTTTATATAATAACTCCACATCAATCTCACCTAAATATTTTGACAAATGTAATAAGAAATAAGCTTTAAGAAATGTTGTATTAAATTTTAAAGCATTTTAAAACAAAACATTTTAAAACACTCAGAGATAAACCGAAAATACAGTCATCAGCATAAAATAATTTTCAAACTAACATTTTCATAGCAAAATTACTTTTGTTCATCAATTTTCTAAGCTAAAAATCATTTTATGTGAAAAAAAAGTTATGTAGAAACACTTTTATTACTATCCGGGTAAGCTATGAATCTTATAATCATATGTTATAATATTTGTCACAATTCCAAATTTTTTTGGTTATCTTAAAAACAATCGGTTATCTTTTATAAACAAACCTCGGTTATATTCTATCTTTATTAAATACACAATATATTAATTTTGTCATTAAATTAGAACAAAATAAGCTGAAAATACAACATTTTAATATATGTCATCAGTTTTCAAATGAAACAAAGACAATCAGAATCGCTTATAAATACAGCTAATTATTCCAAAGTAATTTTATTTTTCTGAGTTATCCTTTTCCATGCTACAGTAAAACATTGCCCGAACATTTCAATTTCATATTTAGATAAATTTTTTAGTAAACGATATTTGTATATACCATTACATCACTTTTCGTAATATCACATCAGAACTAAAAACTGTGTCTTTACTTTCCAGTTTTACTAATGTCAAAAATAATGTTGACAAAGAAATTAAATAGAATTTTTTTTACTCAATTCTGTTTCAATTTTTTTGTCGTTTTTTACTATTTTGAGCAATTTTTCGTAAAAAAAAAACAAATTACATTTGTTATAAGAAAACTATTTATAAGAAAGTTTGCTTGTAAGAAAACATCCAAATTGATTTGGAAAATCTTTCCAAATGAAACAATTACTATGCAAATTAAAGTACCAAAAATACAAAATATGTAAAATAAAAAGAAGAAAAATTCTCTTTCCATTTAAGTCGCAAACTAACACCTAACGGCTATTTTTAAAAAATTATTAGTAAGTGCTGAACCATAACGAGAAATTTATTTAATCGAAAAGTTATAATAAAATGTTAGTTTAAAAAAAAATCAACTTTAAATATAAACAGAGAAAAAAATCCGATTATATTGTTTTGTTTTGAAACAATAAATATAAAAAGGTTAATTAATGCAAATTCTTTAAAAATGCTACATTTAACACATCACCTGCTTTTTAAATAGAACTAAAAAGCATTTATATTATTTTCATGTACTAAGTTTATGATGAAAAATAATATCTCCCTCATTTCATATTTTGCTTTTAGAGAAATAAATCACTGACTTTCAAGGATTTTTCTCTTTCATTAATGTTCTATATTATATTGTTTGCATAAAAAAAAATTAGTTATTCAAAAAAACAATTTACGGCTGCTGAGTGGTAAACGAAAATGTTTCTTACATTTTTACCATAAATTTATATTATTAATATAAAAAAGTTATTGATGCAAAAGCAATTTTCTTTGGCATGTCTCAATTGTAAAAAAATAAATCTCTAATCCTTAAATATTTTTATTGCTGGCTAAATTATTCAAAGAAAATATATGCTGTCCAACGAATTTTAAAAAAGTAAATCTCTAACCTTTAAATATTTTTATTGCTGTCAAAATTGTTCAAAGAAAATATATGCTGTCCTAAGAATTGTAAAAAAATAAATCTCTAACCTTTAAATATTTTTTTTGCTGTCAAAATTGTTCAAAGAAAATATATGCTGTCCTAAGAATTGTAAAAAAATAAATCTCTAACTTTTAAATATTTTTATTGCTGTCTAAATTATTCAAAGAAAATATATGCTGTCCAACGAATAAATTTTCTGATAAAACAAATTGTTAGGTCCTTGTTTATAAAAACAATATTTTAAAGCTAATATGCTTTTTTTAGGAAAGACATACCCCTTCAAATCATTGATAATGAAATGTACGAAGCTGATGCAGTTTTCTTTGTCGAACTTGGTGACCCAAAATTAGAGGAAGGTAAGTTTTTATTCTATCATTTTACTCTAATATCTTTCTAATTCTATCTTAATTAAAAAAATACCTTCCATTCTTTCCTGTAAAAATATTCTTTACCTGCACTGTTATTCAAAGCAACCAATCATATTTTATCTAATCTATCTCTTTATTTCCATGCTACCTCGGAAGATGTTGGTCTAGCAGAAAATGAAGGTAAAAAGAGCCAAAATTTTTACTGATATAGCTTTTAATTTATATAATCAACTTCTTGGCTCTATTGATACAAATTCTAATATTAAATTCGCTATTTTTTGCCAAGTTTTTGTCCTTGATTAATTCAATTTGCATATTACTCAATGTTTGTCCTTATGCTTGTTTTAAATATTTTCTTGCACGTGCATGTACTAAAAGTGTTTATTGGTAGCTTAGTAGCAGCTAACTTTAAAAATTTATTCCTAAAACGAACTCTCGAAATAGTTATGTGCACTAGATACAAAAAATATATTTTGTTTCATTTGATTACAATAAAATGCATACAACTTAAACAAATCTATGCAATGAACAATAATAATAAAATCAAAATTAGGGTTAATGTTCACAATAAATAAGGATATATATATATAAGGATATATATATATATATAAGGAGAGAGAGAGAGAGCGTTGAAATGGNTATATATATATATATATGTACATACAGAGTGACCCAGGATATCATGGCAACCTTAAAGAGGAGGGGTAGGGGACATCACAAGGATTCAGATTTACCTAATAATTAATGGTCGGAAACGTCTTCGTTTGCCACTAGGTGTTGTTGTTCACAATATGGATTGGGAGCGGTGAATCAGTTCCTTGGCCACCACTCTCTCCTGATTTTAGCAACGGGGATTTCATTCTCTGATATTCACTGAAATGTAATGTGTACGTAACACATGTGAATTCCAAAATGGATCTGTCTGCAAGATTAGTCTGTGATGTTGAGGGAAATATAAAAAAATCTAGGTATATTTGAGCGAGTTCTCCAATTCAAGGCCGACTTGTGTAACGCATGCATCTCTAGAAAAGGTGGACACTTTGAACCTCTCTTGTGACTTTTTTAAATATCATCTTCCACAATATAAGAATTATCTTTGACCAATGCATATCTCAGATAATCTATGTCTTATTTCTTGAACCAGTTATAATACTTTCAAATCATGTTTCCGGCCATGGATTACCTTGAAATTCTTAATCCTTGTGATGTCCCCAAATCTCCTTAAAGTTTGTCCCAATAATCCTGGGACAACCAATATATCATTCAAACAATATTACAAAGTTAACCAGAAATTAATAACTACCTGAAAGTTAATAGAATTTCCACTTGCTTTTAAAACTTGTTAATCGGAAATTTCAATATTTTAGTTGATCATTCACATCAAAATATGTAAGTGCTTAACTAAACCTGAACTGATCAAATAAAAAAATAATTTTATCATAGCTTTTGAAAAATATTTATTTTCTATGATTCATGCTTTCAGAGTAAGCAGAAACAGATAAACACTTTATTGAAAGTGTAGAGGTTTTATTATTAAAACTACTTTCGCAGTAACGTAAAGCCATAATATTTGGTACTTTTAACCAAATAAGAATTCAGTAGCTGCAATTTACCACATTATAGTTCAACGCACTTCAAAAAGTTAACAGTTTGTCGTTATTAGGAATAATTACCTACTATCATTAAAAATATCTAATTAATATATTGGATATTATCTAAATAAAATTAAATCCATTAATTTTTCTGTCGAAAAATTCAAAATAATTAATTTGAACTTTATTTAAAGGAACAGTTTCAAAAAGTATCAGATGAGTGAAGTTTGATAAATTTCCGAATTCAAAATGATTCGCAAATAAATATTTGGTAATATGAATTTTTTTTTCGGTTTATTATTTAGTCTGTTAAATATTTCTGTGTACGAACTAATTTTCGTGGAACATGCATTTAAAAATTTGCTAGAATTTATTTTTGGTAATACAATTATATCCAAAACTAGAAATATGAAGATTTTAAAAGTTTACAATGAATATTCATTAGTGGTTTAAATTTACGCATAATTTACGTTTATAAGAACATTCACTGTCTTTACTTTTTTTTCTTCACTTCTTTGATGCATCATTGTATTAATTTTTTCTCCAAAAAAAACTGAAAAGCAGTAAAACTTTTCTTAAGTAGAAATATTAAATAATGTTATTTAATCTCTTTATAGTAATTGTGTTTTTAAACAGTAACGCAGTTATATATATTTTATTGTGCATAAAATCTCAGAGTAAATTTGTTTTGCATTTCAGAACACCAGTCTTTCCAGATTAAATAGAAAAAATAAACTGAACATAAAAGAACAAATAATGAAAAGTATTTTTGAAATAAAAAAAAGTTATTTTTATTATCCTGCTTAATGATAGTAACTTAAGTAAAAAGTGCAAACACTAAGATACTCAAGTGCTTTCTTCTAATGGGAAAAACTACTTTTCTTTTAATTTAACTCAGGGGAAAAATAATGTTTTATCCCACTTTTGCATCTACAGCTAAGAAAAAGGCTAACTTGAATTGCTGAGAAATCTTATTAATGGCTGACTTTTATTGTCGGCCTTTTTCATTCAATGAGGTTTACGTGTATGTGTTAAATTAAAGTAAATAAAAGTTTCTTTCATAAGTTAAAATTCTAGATTTAGATTTGACTATTGATTTTAGAAGGAAACATTTTATAAACTAGATAAAATATTGGATCTTAAATAATGCATTCCTTTTTCATTCAATGAGGTTAACGCGTGAGTGTTAAATTAAAGTAAATAAAAGTTTCCTTCATAAGTTAAAATTCTGGATTTTATAAATTAGATAAAATATTGGATCTTAAATAATTCATTCCTTTTCATTCAATGGGGTTAACGTGTAAGTGTTAAATTAAGATAAATAAAAGTTTCTTTCATACGCTAAAATTCTGGATTAAGATTTAACTATTGATTCCAGAAAGAAAAATTTTATAAATTAGATAAAATAGTGGATCTTAAATAATTTTTTTATAACTCGAATAATATTTTTTCAAAATTACAATAAACTCAAAAGTGATTCCAACTTATTATAAATGTTTCATTAATGTTTTAATAACTAAATGCAATTAATAAAAACTTTGTACAATATTTAAATACAAAAATACGCTAGCTATATTTAATATGTTTCAGTATTTAAACCAAGTTTTCCCCATTTTAACTCTTAATAGCCAATGTCCAATATATTGACAACATTTAGTACGGTTTTATCAATTAAAAAATATTTCAAGAATACATTTTTTGCTTTCGCGTCTTAGCAAAGCAATTGTCAATGTGAAAATATAGTTGGAGTTATAAATTTATAAGTGGTTTATAATTGGTAATCCGATTATAATTGTATTAGGTGTTTTAATTATTATGATGAATCATAAGAAGAGTAAAATATTTGATTCAAGTAACTTTTAAGAAAGTTTTATGGCTTATAGTTTTGTTTCATTAAATAATGTGAATAAATATGCCATATAAATATTCCACTTCATATAAAAAATGCTAAAAAATGAAACTGAGCATTTTATACCAAAAATAAAAGTAACCATAAAGTTAAGCTTAAAAATTTTAATTATTTTTAAAAAATCATATTTTATTCATTTTATTGGTAAGCTACTTATTTTAAAATAAAAAGCACATTTTTTGCCCTTATTTTAAGTTAGAGATTCTGGGGGATATGGCACCAGTAAATAAAAATTGCATTTTTTTGAATAACGCGTAAATACTTAGATCTGTATTTTATGAGAAAAAAATGTTTATTCCTTTATATTTGTCATTATATATTTGCATTTCACAGATAAATGTTAAAACTCCTTTTTTAGCATTATATTAGTTTTAGAATAAATAGAACATTAATTTAAAGTATCGTTATACTCACCACAGAATTTTAAAATAAATATATAAAATATATAATAATTTACATTTTTAAAGTTAAAAATTGTGTCTGCGCTTTTAAATATAGCTTAGAAATCGCATGTGATATTTTACAGCTTGTATTGTAAATTTCATTGGATACATACTTTTAAAATAAGATATTTTTCGGTTTTATGTTATTTATGTTAAAAAATACCAGTGTTGTATTTTATGTTTCATAGTCTTAAAGTTTCTGTGTGTATTTGTTTCTTTTTAAATCCTATGTACTTGTACTTTTCTTTTTCTTCTCTAATTAGTAACTGACTTTCAAAGGAAAGAGTAAAAAATTTTAATACGTAAATAATTATGATATTTCTATAATTATATAACTATGAATATAGCATTGTAACTACAAGTATATAATTATGAATTAGCGTAATGTAACTATATGCATATAATTATGAATTACTGCATTGTAAGTATATTCTACAAGTATATAATTATGAATTACTGTATTGTAAGTATATTCCACAAGTATATAATTATGAATAACTGTATTGTAAGTATATTCTTCAAGTATATAATTAAGAATTACTGTATTGTAAGTATATTCCACGAGTATATAATTATGAATTACTGTATTGTAAGTATATTCTACAAGTATATAATTATGAATTACTGTGATGTAAGTATATTCTACAAGTATATAATTCTGATTTAAAGTATGCTTGAATTTAAAATCATATCTTATCACATGGGTAATTCCGTTTTGAAAATAATATTATGTTAAATATATCATAAGTTACAGAAATCAATTACTATAAAGAATTTAATATGTAAATAAGATCAAAGACGCAAAGTAGTAATTTGACACGCACTTTACTAATGAAAACAAATTAATAAAATGTTTGTTTCAAATATAGTGGTTCTCAATAGCCATACAATGAAGAAACGGTAAACCACGCTGGGCAAAGTTAGAAATTTCATTCTAAAATTATGGTACAGTAACCGGCAGCAGTCTGCCCATCCAATTAATGGAATATGAACAATTAATGTAATAATCCAAATAATGTATAATAAATAGGGGGAAATGTTCTTTTCCATAAAGCTTACGGTAAAGAACTATTTTTAACCATTTACAACTAGCATGGTTTCAAAACCATATAAATAACATTAATTAGGCGTTCGAACTAAGATGTTCGTCATATAATGGACATTAGAGAGTGCAGGACACGAATTAGGAAACGCAGGACGCTGAAAGCTTTTCATATTTGTAATGGAATAGAGAAA